TATATATATATATATATATATATATATATATATATATATATATATATTTTACACTCTGTACTCTAGACAGAGTTTGAATTTGTGCTCTCCTGTCCCAGTCTCCCAAGTAGCTAGAATTACAAGCTGTGGCACCAGGTCCAGCTACCTTACCACTTCTTTTGTTTTTTGGTTTTTTTTTTTGGGGGGGGTGTTTCGAGACAGGGTTTCTCTGTATAGCCCTGGCTGTCCTGGAACTCACTCTGTAGACCAGGCTGGCCTCGAACTCAGAAATCCGCCTGCCTCTGCCTCCCAAGTGCTGGGATTAAAGGCGTGCGCCACCACTGCCCGGCTCCCTTACCACTTCTTGAATCGCAGTGTATTTTAAGATTTTGTGATCCTCCACAGCCTGATCCTATCAATATCCCCTTATTATTTACTGATACTTACTAACCAAATATTTAATGGCACACAAATTCAGCTTCCAGTCAAACATTTTAACAAGTATTTGAGTCTTACTTCAAGTAAAGCACGGAGCTGTATAATAGGTAAATGATTTTTTTTTTTTTTTTGGTCTCAGAGATCTCACTTTTCATGAGGTATAAAATGAAAATAACTTAAAGGTAGTTAAATACACTAGGATGATGTACATCAAGGTGGTGATTGTTCTAGCTACTTTACACTATATTATTCTGTTGAGTCACTATATTACTCCGTTGAGTGAATTTTTAATCATAATCTTGGCAGTGGCCTTAACCTGTTCATAGATGAAGTAATTTATCCAAGTCTATATGAATGACACATAGCAGGATCAACATTTCAACATGTCAATAAAATAGATCAGTTATCACTACTGTATACTATAAGGTTGAAAAAGGAACAACAGAAACATTTTTTCTTGGCCAGTTGAGCATGTTTTGTTTAATTTTTTCCTGGTAAGTTCTATACAATGATGGTGTCCAATTTTATTGTCTGGGTTTTACTTAATGAACCTGATCTCTTGCATACAGCCATCCAGGATCAATACAGTCAAAAGTTTCTTCTTTCTCAGCCATATTTTATAGCACTGCTATAGTCTAGTGGTTAGTAAGAACACTTTTGTTTCATTGTACTCTATATATGTGTACACTTATGCTTACATATGTTTTGATATGACATGGGTGCGCTAGTACTTGGAAAGTCACCATACAGGATCTAAGCCACTTTACTAATAAAATGCTCTGTGAAAATTTCACTCTTGCCAAAACTAGAGTCACAGCCTGGTATAGCATATGTCCTGGTGAACTAGAGTTCTCTGAGAGAATGTGCTGGTCTTGGTACACTGGTAGGAGCACCCAGTGCCCAGTTACTGCTCAGGGCAGAAAAGTGCCCTACTTCACCCATCAAAGAATTTGTTACATACTTAATTATATTCCAAGTCCTTTAAAAATAAAATGAATTCACTGTCAGTTCTGTGAAGTTTAGTGGTAGCTTCAGTTTTGTCTCTCACAGATGATCTTACAGAATAGTTTGTAACTCCTCCTAACTTCTCCTAGGGTCCTCTCTTTAACCCAGATTTTATACCCTGCCATGCTGAAAATAAAGCGTTTTCTAGATGACCACAGAATGCAGAAGAGAAAGTTTGTACGAATATTGCAGACAATTGAGCAGAAGCCCACAAGTTTGAGTGACCTAAGAATGCAGTGAGTTTAGTGATTGGGCCTCGACTCATTTGGGTTCTCGATCCAATGACAGTAGAACATCTTGGAAATTCATTGAACGACAAGAGCTTTTCAGTGGCAGTAGTTCTCTCTATTGGATTTCCTCAGTTGAAAATAAGACTTAGTAAAGAATCTCAGGGACCAGAACTGAGTACTTTCTTTGCTGAACTGGAAAGCACTTAAGAAAGGGAAACTGAAAGAAACAGATGCTTCACAGGAAAGACAAAAACAGAATATAAGTAAGACCCTTAAGCAGCATCCCCAGAAACCCCTCTGGCACATACCCAGCCATAAGTGTGATGACTCTCCCTCTGTAAAAATCCTCTCTCTGTGGTACTTAGTGCCTTTTATACCACAACCTCATACTGCCAGGAAAGCATAATAAGCTTATGAACTACCCTGAATCTGGATGTCCAGAGAGGGGAATTCTGCTTCTCCGACATAAACCTAAGCTATCAGGACGGGGAAGCGAAGTCTAAGAAATGCTTTCTTTTAAAATATTTTAAATGCTTCCCTCTCTTTTGTGTGAGTTTTCTCAAAACACAGAAAAGTGTAAATCAAGAAATTACCTACCATCCCAAAAGTAAATTGTGCTACCCTTTACCTATTCCCTGGCAGCGTTTTTCTCCCAATGGGCCAATAAATCTACTCAGTAAATGTTGAGGTCAACTATTGCTTGTTTTAAAAATTAGACATTAAGGTTCAAGAATTTAAATTCAAGCACCAGAACTCGACATTTTACTATCTGAAACTAGTTTCAGAATCTATTATGCATACATAACAGTAGACTAGTAGCCTAAGTGTATTGTTAACATGATTTTAATATTATAGATATCTAAATTAGAGTTCTTGACAACCCGCAGATTGACCTAGAGTGCGGATGGCCTGGGTTCTAACAGTAACAGAACCAAGTCACATCTGTTGAAGGAAGGAGTGGACGGAGGAATAACAGAAGAGTTCTCCATAACAACCTCTGAGGAAAGCCAAACTAGATCCCAAACTCAAAAACAAGCGAGAAAACAAGCGAGAAGAGTCGGGAAACATGGCTACGAAAACTGGCTGATGGTGCCCGTGTTAAACAAAAGGAATGGCCAAACGCCAAATGAATGTGTGCTGATTGTCCCAGTATTTCAATATAAAATTAAGATAGCAAAACATGATTATAAATCTTGATTTAAAAAAAACGAGAAAATCCAGGATGAAGAAGAAGGTCCTAGTTGCTTTGAGCTTTCAGAAGTTAGACATTTTGTGAAGTGCATCTCTCAAGAAAGAGGAAGAGAATATGCTAAATAAATGTTCATAAAATCACCAAAATCACTAACAATATAAGCCTGTTAACTATTAAAATGCAAACATGAAGGAAGATAGCACAGGCCATGGAGCAAAAGACGACAAATTTAAAAGGGAAAGCATAGCTAGACTATAGAACTCGGACATGTGGAAATGTATGCATCACACATGCGTGTGCCCCTCCCACACACATAGATGGTATTAGAATTAGAAGGGGATTAATTGTCAGGTTATATTTTAAAGTTCTGTCTTGTTTTTAATTATGTTTTAATAGTAAAGACTGTTTAAGAGGAGAAAGGAGCTCCTGGCCCTCAGTCATGGGTACTGTAGCTGCCTATGGTAAAGAACAGCCACAGTTTTTAAAAAATGTATTTATTCACTTTACATTGAAGTATCAGGCCCCCCCTCTCCTCACAGACCCTCTCACCCTGATCCTCTGCCATCCCCTCTCCTACCCAAGCTTCTTCCCCCCATTTACTTCTAATATATATTTTATTTCCTCTTCAAAGAAAGACTCAACCATCCTCTCTTGGGCCCTCCTTGTTATTTGGCTTCTTTGGGTCTGGTGATTATGGCATGGTTATTCTGTACTTTATGACTAATATCTACTTATAAGTGAGTATATACCATGCATGCATGCATGTATCCTTTTGGGTCTGGATTTCCTTACTCTGGATGATATTTTCTAGTTCCATCAATTTGCTGGGGTATTTAACTAAGACTCTCAAGACAAGATAATTCTGATGTCCTCCAAGAGTGGAGAAAAGGACAGAGAAAAACAGAGGCTTTATGTGCACAAAGTCAAGAAAGAAGATAAGCTCCCACAAGCCAAGGAATGCTAAGAGCCACTAGTTGCCAGAAGAGATGGGATTACATCGAGAACTTTTGGAGAAAATGTGAGTATGCCAACACATTAATTTCATGTTTTCGAATTCCAGAACTATGAGCAAATAAATTTCTGTTGTTTTAGGTCTCCTAGTTTGTGGTGAGTTTTTACAGCAGCTGAAAATAAATAGTGCTTATTGCAAAAGGTCTGGAAAGAAGCCATTAAAGGGTTCAGTTTGAGGCATCTGACTCTCAAGCCCTTGAGAATGATGAAGAACATGCTGTGCAGTCGATGCCCTTCCTAGCTGACATGTGTCCTCTCAGAATCCATTCTTCTTCAGAAGTTCTGTTCAGCACACTGCTATGCCCTCTTCTGCAGATTTCCTTTGTCAGTACTCGGAGGGGTGGGGAAATTAAGTGGTTGGCTTTTAAATTATATAGTGGGGTTGTTGTGCTCTGTGTGGGCAAGGTTTGGATGTCTTATTTTCTATATCATATGATAAATAATATGGTGTGTGTATATGTGTGTGTGTGTGTGTCTGTCTGTCTGTCTGTCTGTGTCTGTGTCTGAGCATAGAAATGAACAGTGAGACTCTGTCACTCTAAGGAAAGTTTTGAGGCTAATGTATATTTTCTAGTTTATTCTCTTCCAAATTTATGGAGTTGTCAAGCCCAAACAGCTTCTCTATGACTGCAGTGACCTCTCAAACAGGTTTTCTACTTCAGAAAATACAGATTTGAGCTTCCACACATCAGCAGGCAAAAAGCCTTGTATTTATATTAAAAGAATATAGACCAGGAAAAGGGAAGGTGAGACCCTACAGTGAGGCCACCACACACTCTGGACACAAGGCTTGGAGGGATCTATCTAGCTGGTCCTGGCCTGGGAGCCTCCTTCCTGAGGGCTATCTCCCATAGCACCAGACAGTGCTATTCAAGCTGCCAAAGACAAAGAGACAATCAATAGTCCTACCCAGCCTGGGAACCACAGCAATGACCAACTAGGCAAGATATCCCCAATGGTGTAATAGTGGTGCTTATTTCTTGAGGAGAACCAACATCTGACTAATGGAACTTAGAACCACTCAATACAGTTCATGCCTGGTACTGTAAACCTAGATAAACCAGTTCTAAGTGCTCAACCCTAAAAACATGTGCATAGGCCAACCCAAAACAGATTCATTAGATTTTATACATATGTAAAGTAATTAGAGAGGAAAGGTCATGAATCCTAGGGCAGTGGAGGGGAAGGGGAATGGATGGAAATCCTACCCATGGCTAGAGAACTCATGGACCCTAGAGGAGAAATTACTACCATTTTTTTCTAAAAGAGTGAAATGTCTGACTATATTATATACATACTGGGATATATATATATATATATATATATATATATATATGTGTGTGTGTGTGTGTGTGTGTGTGTGTGTGTGTGTGTGAATATATATGGATGGATATATATATATATATATGAATGAATGAATATATACTGGGTAAGTGTAACCCTCATCCCTCATCAAGAAAGCTTCTTTTTATAGGAGAAGAAGGCTACTACAGAGATCCACAACTAGTCAAAATGCAGAGAATAACTGAGTATAAGTTATCTTACCCAATTTGTATATCTACAATTCGACCCCTACACCTAAGGCTCAGAGAAGATGGTCTGGATAGGGAGGGGCATAGAGATCATAAGAACCAAAAGACCAGGAAGCCTGCTGCAAGATAGTATCTTCTAGATATCAGAGAAGTTGCACCTATGAATCTGAACAATATGGCCACCTAAATAAAACCTGATCACTAATCATATCAGTCAGTGTACTAACAGGAGGGGGAGAAACTTCACGAGGCCCACTCCTATATGAAGAACTACGGCCAGGTGCTGGATGTTAAGAGAGGGAGAACCAATCTTTTCTACGGAGGAGTCCCCTGATAGGTTTGCAAATTCCAAGTGCTCATCCTAAAAACAGACAACAAAAAATGGACTCAGTAAGTTGTATACATATGTAACAGTAACTAGAGAAGAATAAGTTATGAATCCTAGGTCAGTGGAGGGAGAAGGGGAATGGATAGAAATCATATAAATTCAATGTACTTATGAATGGAATTCTCAGAAAAACAATTCATGTTTCCTTCCATTACTCATAGGTATTTGATTTTGTATGTTTATATTTTTCTTCCTCTCTTCTAAACTTAAGACATTTAGGGAAAGATTTTAGAAAATGGCTACTTATTTCTCTCAAGATTTTGTCAGTTTTTCAAAATTTATTTTAAAACACTAGCATTGTATATGACTTTATCTTACAGGCAGGAAGATCAATGGAATAGAATTGAAGACCCAGAAATGAACCCACACACCTATGGTCACTTGATCTTTGACAAAGGAGCTAAAACTGTCCAGTGGAAAAAGGACAGCATTTTCAACAAATGGTGCTGGTTCAACTGGAGGACAACATGTAGAAGAATGCAAATAGATCCATTCTTATCTCCTTGTACCAAGCTCAAGTCCAAGTGGATAAAGGACCCTCACATAAAACCAGATACACTGAAACTAATA